CAGAGCAATTCCACAGGCCCCCTTAGCCACAGGCGCATGAACTGTTTCTAGTCTCTCCCAGGGTTCAGCACATAGGAGGTGATGATTACAACTAAGCCACATCTATGTGGACGGAAGTACACACCCCTGTATTATATACACATACATCCCAACCTTGGAGGCAGCAGCAGAGAAAAAGAAACGAGAGGTTTGGAATCAAATCTGTTCCAGCTTCACCTTATACTGATTACATGAACTTATACAAAGGTGCTTTATTTATTTCCTCATCTGTAAAAAGGGGATAACACCAATTTCACGGGTGTTATGCGAGAGAAAGGAAAACACCAGTATGGAGTAAAAAACTCGATAAATGCTGGCAACCTTCCCCTTTTGGGGACACTGTCTTACACAGACCTTCCCTCCTCAATACTGCCCTCCAGTGGGCTAGGATTCTCCTCCCCCTACATAAAGTAGGCCCCACATGGAACAGATCCACTGGAGGAAAATCTAGATTTCAAAATAAGGTAACATGAATTTTCCCATTTACAAAAGAGATGTTTCGTTATTGCCATTTTCATCTTAGACTATAGCATTTCCATTATGACTTGATCTACACGGGTAGAGTAGATTTGCGCTTGTCAAGGACCTTGTTTCCTATCTAAATTTCCTATCTAAATGTAGCTTATTTCCTATCAAAATCTATCTTTCATCCCTGCTGAGTTTTCCCAAGAATCAGTGGCCACCTTGACCCTCCTGGACAACCCAGCCTCTCCCAGGCAGTGTTCACTGGCTTTTACTCACCCACACAGTTGTCACAGATGCTGCAATGGGAGGCCCGGGGCGGCCGGAAGATCTTGCATGTATAACAGTATTTCAGTTTCACAATCTGGTTGTTTATCTGGAAATTCTTGATACGAGGTGGTGGTCGCTGGCCCTGGGGTACTGCGCCATTGGTAGCTTCTGTAAATCAGTAAAGCCGGTTACCATTACTGTAGCCATTATTTAAATCCAAAAAAAGCAACTGGAGTACTCAAGGGTTCCCTTGACCAAAAGTCTTTTCCAGGCGAACATTTCCTGATTATACTTTCAGCATCACAGAGAGGTCCCTCAATATTACAGAGTGTCTGTAATTCTGTTGTGTATATGTCAAAAAGCATTTCTTCAAGGGTTTTTTTTTTTTTTTTGCTCTGATTAGAAAGAAAAACATTCAGGGACCAGCAGTTAGTGTAATAGCTATGTTGCTGGACTCCCATGTAGTCGACTGCAGTCCCAGGCCTGGTGGCTTAAACTCACACTGGGCGCATGTCCATGTGTGCCCAAGATCCCGAGAGGAGAATGGAGGAGAAGGGATTGCGGCATGGTCATTTGCCCTGAGGGGTGATTTCTTGCTTTCTGTCTCTGTCTCTCTCTTTCTGGTGAGCACACATGCCCATAGCAAAAAAGAAAAACATTCATAAAAGAAAAAAAAGCCAAAAAATATGAAATGAAAATATCTAACTTCATTAATTACCAGAGAAACACAAATTAAAATACAAATATACAATTTCTACCTATTAACTTTTTTTTTTTTTTTTTTGGCCATAGAGCACATGCCTTCCCTAGATAGAGATAATGAAAGAGAAAGTGAGAAGTCACCACCACCACCACCACCACCCCCAGAGGGCATGGCCTCAGTGCCTGGCCATGCTGGAATCCTTCCTCTTCCATTCTCCTCTCAGGATTTTGGGCATACATGCACATGTGCCCAGTGTGATTTTCAAGCCGCCAAGTCTGGGATTCAAACTGAGGTTGGCCATGTGGGAGTACAACACCTTAACCACCACATCACCTATTGGTTTCTATATTAACAAATATTAAAAAGAATAAAAATACCTGGTATTAGCAAGAGTGGGAAAAAGTCATTCTTATACCTTTACCACGAGCGTTGGGCAAAGGCTACCAAAATTTTAAATGTATATTCCCTTTGACCTAGCGGTTCTACTTCTAGAACGTGTGGAAATTACAAAGAGATATAAAGGAGATGCTTATACCAAGGATATTTACCACAGAGTTCCTTTTAATAAGAAAAAAATTTAAAAATAGCCCAATGTCACAATAGGAGGTTGATTATGTAAATTATGATACATACACAGAATGAAATATCATGTAGCCATTTAAAATTATATAGATGAATAAATAGTGACACAGGAAAATACAATATATTACAAAATAAAAATATATGTTGGGCCTGCCAACAGCATAGGGACTAAGGCAGATGGATTCCACATGGCCAATTGTGTGATTTGAGTCGTAAATACAGTGGCTTGAAAAACACACTGGACACATATGTGTACAAGCCCAAATCCCAAAAGGAGGGAGAAATGGAAGAGAAGGATTACAACATGACCATCCCCTATGGGGGTGCTTTCTTATGTGCTCACTCTCTTGTTTCGCTCAAGTGAGCACATACAACCTCTGACTAAAAAGCTGTATGTATGAGAAGATTCTGTCCTTCAAAAGTAAAATATGCATTTAAAAAAGACTGATAATACTTAGAATTAGAAAAACAATTTTTAAGGCCAGTAGGTTGCATGGTGGCTCAGGCACTGGACTCCCACATGGTGGACTGTGATTCGAATCTCAGACCTGGCAGCTTGCTTTGTCACTTTCTCTCTATGTCTCTCTCCTCGAGAGAGAGAGAGAGAGAGAGAGAGAGAGAGGTTTTTCCTATAAAGTGTGTGTGCTTGCCAGAAAGACAGAGAAAGACAGAGATAGAAAGCAAGAAATCACCCCCCAGGGGTGTGGCCACACCGCAATCCCTTCTTCTCCATTCTCCTCTCAGGATCTTGGGCACACACACACATGCACCCGGTGTGAGATTTAAGCCACCAGGTCCATGACTCAAACCACAGTGGACTACATGGGAGTCCAGCAACATAGCCATTATGCCAACTGCTGGTCCCCTCTCTCACTCTCTCTATGTGTTTCTCTCCAGTGAATTAAAATAATAATAATAATGACAAATAAATAAAATTAAATAATTATTTTAAAAATAAAAACAATTTTTAAAATAAGAACAATACATGCTTATTGCAAAAACTTTGGAAAAAACAGAAAATATAAATAAGATAAAAATCTCTGATGGTCTCTCAACTGAGAAATAGTTATACATCTTGGTGTGTTTCCTTTTAATCTCTTAACAGATAAATAAACATTTATGGTTTTGTTTTTAAATTTCAGATTAGAGAGCCAGTCAGTAGCACAGTGGTTAAGGGAGCTGGATTCCACATGGCTGACTGTACAGTTGAGTTCTAGACCCAGTAGCTTAAAAAACACACCAGGCACATGTGCATGCATGCCCGAAAATCCAAGAGAAAAACAGAGGAAAAAGGACTGTTGCATGGCCATCCCCCTGAAGAGTGCTTTCTCACTCTCTCTGTCTCTTTCTGGTGGGCACACATGCCCTATAGCAAATTACAAAAAACAACAACAAAAACAAAATATAGAGATCAAGGTCAACCCTGTAGCATGGTGGGTGAAGAAGTCAGATCACACATCACTTACTGTGCAGTTCGAGTCAGAGCCCTGGCAGCTTGAAAAGTTGGGGCACACTGGGCATGTGTGCATGTGTGCCCAAATTCCCCACAGGCTGGAGAAATGGAGGAGAAAGGAATGCAGTATGGCCATGGCCCATTGCAGGGGGATTCTTTCTGCTCCCCCCACCCCCACTGTCTCTTTGACTCTCTCTGGTGGGCACACATGTCCTATGGTAATAATAAAAAAATTCAGATCATATTATAAGTGTAAATTTGTACCATGAATTATTTAATTAACATTATTCTGTGAGCCATGGTTAATTTTTTTCTAAAACACTACTACTGGCCATATTCCACTGTATGCACATACTGTGATTTATTAAACCACTTTAATTGTGTCTCTAGATTTTTGCTATTTAAAAAAATGTTGCATGCAACAAATTAAAGCATCACAGATCAAATCTTAAATCCCCTTTGATCATCACTCCAAGTCCACACTCCCCTTCTCCCTTCCCCCAAAATGTATTCATGTGTTCACAGTAATTGCTAAAATAGAAAAAAAGGTCAAAGTTTGAACAAGAATATATGAAGTTGCTGGTTTTAAAATAACTATATTCACATTTAAAAAAGAAGAAGAAATGATGCACTAAAAATCCTCCTACAGGACTCATTTTCTTTAAAAAAAAAAATCTCTGATTATTTCCTTTAGCTAAACCCTTAAAGCGATACTATTACTGGGTCAAAGAGTATGAACCTTTAAAGCCCATATTACTTATCACCAAACTGCTTCCCAGACAGATTATATGAATTTGCACGCCTGCTCATCCACAGCATATGAGTGTGCCTGTCTCCTTGCACCCTTGCTGTGCAGTATAATTCTAAAAACAGAATATTTTTCAATTCGCTTTGATTTTAAAAATATCTGCCATATGGAACGTTTTTCCTTTTTTGCAGAGTGGTGTAGATGCTGTGAAATCAAACAATAACAGTGTGTCACAAGTCTTAAAAGGATGGGGGTAGCTATTCATTAACGGATGATAGAGGTACCAGCATGCCACCCTAATATTCCTTTGCACATACTTTTTACAGGAGAGCACCTGTAAAAAGACAGAGAGTTCATGGTTCACCCTCCCCAGGAGGCAGAGGAATCACATGACTTCTCTCCCATTTCCACCTCCCTTCCCACCCCCACAGCATACCCAGAGCTGAATATAAGCTGACAAAAAATTGCTAACATAAACATACATCTGAACTCAACTATGCACTTTTCTGTCAAGGGAAACATGCTCAATGCAGAGATTACGATGTGACAGCCAGAGGCTGGGTCCCTGGCCCAGTGATAAGGTGGAAAAGAGTTAATCATGTTAAGGACTCAGGATGAGATGCAAGTCAAGGTATTGCCTTGACCCTAAGTTGTTGTTTGTTTTGTTTGGCTTCGTTTCTGGTCTGTGAATAGAAAGGAAACTATCAAAGAATAATTAGGAGAAAAAAACAGCACTTACGAGTCTCCCTGAGTGTCTTGTTCTTAACTACCCCCAGTTCTACCAGGCCTCCCCAGAACTTCAGCTGCATAAATATACCTCACTTCTCTTTCTTCCTGTGAGTCTTACCCTTACCCCACCCATATGCACAAACTAATTATTTCCTAGCACGACTAAAACAGGTTGGACGTTTCCAACAAGAAAACCACTAGAAACTAGGGGAGGGAGGGGCTAGGAGGTGGTACAATGGTAACAACTGCGCTCACATGGGAAAGGTCCCAGGTTTGTGTCCAGGACCTTCCCGAGTATACCAGGCATATGTGTGCATATCCATGATCTGGGCTGGCTGAGATGGGGGTGGACTGATGCATGCATACCTGTTGGGGTAGGTGCCCCCCCCTTCTCTCTCTGGAGAAATGAATAAACTTTAAAAAAAGAAAAGAAAAAGCTAGGGGGAAACACAGGTCAAACAAACGAATGAACAAAATACAAAAGCACAAAAGCCTTTAAAACACCTTCAAAGAACTACAGGTTTGCCACAGATCAGTGCTCTACTGGCATGGCTTCTCAGGCTGGCCAGGCTTGGGGTCCCCTTCTTCTATCCTGTGTGTCTTGGATGCTAACTCAAGCTACTTGGTAATGAACTTGAGAACCATTTAGGAAGGGGACTGCTGCTGACCTGCTGGGCTCCTGCTCCCTCCAAGTACTTGGGCTATAGTCTTCTTTTCCACTGTGAATTCCTGGGATAGCCCCTCCTCTAGTCCTGGTGGTGGGGTGGGGTGGAGGTGGGGGCACCAATCAGTGACACTGTCCTGGCTAGGACAGCATTTCCTCTCTGTTCCCAAACCCTCCCCCTGAGCTGCGGACTGCAGACCGCACTATACGGAGACTGCCACTGGCTTCTGTACCTCTCCTAGGATTCTCAGTGGTTCTTTGTACCGTCGCTGCCCCATCATCTGGCATATTCTGCTAAACCAGGAATTCTTGGTTGGGGGAGCCATGAATATACCTCAAAAGATCTATGCATCCCTGAAATCACATTCAAAATTGTATACATGTGCTTGAATACAACATTCTTTATGAGCAGGTTTACAGCTTTCAACAAAAAAAATCAAATGTGGCCCAGCCATTGTGACACGGTGGCAATGCTAGTGCCCTGCAGTGCTAGAAGCCATATGGTGACTACGGTTCAGATCCCCAGTCAGCCTGGAAAATACACCAGGTGTGCGCACGGATATCCAGGATCCTGAGGAGGGGCAGCCTGGGTAGAAGGGATTGTGACATGACAATACCCTACTAAAGGTGCTTGCTTGCTCTCCCTCTTTTTCTCTCTCATGTATATATAGTTTCCATCATAAAAGGGGGAGGGAATAGAATGATTTGTGACCCCTCTCACATCCAAACAAGTAAAAAAAAAAATCCTCTTTGGAAACAGTGCTACAGGATCTTGGTAGCAAACCTTCCTGAAATGCAACTGAACACAGGGAACAAAGTATCTGGGACATTACGATCAGGCTATACTTGCCTTACCCAATTCACAGGGTGACGGTGATCTCAGATTTGACTGTTAACCAGCAACTACAACTGTGATTCAGTTCCCTTCCTGATCAGGGCCATCCGTGCACAGCAGCCTGCCAGCCGGTCCTAAGACTTACCTATTTCCATTTCTATGAAAGCTGCTTCATCTGGCAGGGCCCGGGGAATCACTCCAGGGTCACTGAAGCTCGTCCTCAACAGGGTAGCCATGGAGAAAAGGAAGAGCATGGCAGCAAACACGGGGATGGCAGGAGACAGCTGCACAGCCAGGTAGCGGCATCTGAGGAAAGCAGGCAATTCGACATTGAATTACACCTACCCTATTATGATTTCTAATCGGTGCAAGTATGTCAACCTGGTCTCCACAACAAAATTAGCAGTAACTCGAAGGCAGGGGTCATGCTTTTACTTCTCTTGAATTACCCAGAACTCCTAACACATGGCTCTGCACATAGTAGGACTTAACAAATACTTGATTGATGATGCCATGTATTACATGCAGAAGATAGTCTCAAGGGACCTCCCTTACCCCTAAGCCCAATCCTTCCTAACAGGCCCCTAGAAGCCGTATTTCCTCTGCTCCAGGGAAGAGTTCACACCTGGTAAGACAGGGAAGCATATGAGTCTGGATTTGTAAGCACCAGAGGTTGATCTCACCCTGAGCATGTCCAGGGCTTTTCATATACACTCATCTGGCAGTAGGGCTGAGCTTGATGAGGACCAAACAGGAAGCAGGCTCACAGTGTTGGCCAGAGCCTACCTCAGCATACTTCAAGACCAGTGAAAAGTTTCAGAGCTGCTGATAGACTCTACAATGTTCATTCCTCTAGTCTCCTCAATTAGCTCAGCTAAGGAGGTGACTAATGACCATCAGGAAGGGAACAAGAAAATCACATCTTCTTAGTACCCCTTCCTTTTTTAAAAAAAAGATTTTTGCTATAGAGTGCATGCCTTAGCCAGAGAGACAGAGAAACAAAAAGCAAGAAATCATCCCCCGGGGGGAAGGCCATACCGCAATCCCTTCTGCTCCTTTCTCCTCTTGGGATTTGGGGCATGCATGCACATGCACATGGTCTGAGTATTAAGCTTCTGGGTCCCAGACTTGGACTGCAATTCACTACGTGGGAGTCCAGGACCTAACCATTATGCCATCTGCTGGTCCCAGTACCCCTTCCTGACATCATATTCACTCCCCTCTTAACCTATTCGTCTTCCTCTTTGGATATCCCAACTCTACTCATCTCTCGAGTCCCAGAGACATCAATATCACCATCACCATCCTTGCAACTACAAGATATTGAGTACTCTACCATATGCCAAGCACTGTACTAAGCTCTTTATATGCATTATTTCATCCAATTCTCACACTGAATGTATGGGGTAGATTACACCCATTTAATAGAAGAAGGGGATGCCTTGTAGCATACTGGTTAAGGGAGATGGACTTTGGACGGTCAATGACGGTTCGATCCTGGCCCCAGCAGCTTGAAAAACATGTGGCATGCATGTGCATATATGCCCCAAATCCAGACAGGATGGAGAAATGGAGGGGGAAAGATCAAGGTATGATCATGCCCCATTAGGAGGTGCTTTCTCCCTCTCTCTTCTTCTCTCTTCCTCCCTCTCTCCCTCCCTCCCCTTCTCTCTCTCTCTCTCTCTCTCTCTCTCTCTCTCTCTCTCTCACTCTGGTGAGTGCATACATCCTCTGGCAATTAAAAACAAAAATATGTTCCTTTACAAAAAAAAGATGAAGAATCTGGGACTTAGAGTCTAAGGCTTGCCTCCTCCAAAAGGCCCATGCCAAGCTCTACTAATCTGTCCCTTCTCTGCTCCCTATAGTGCTCGCTGTCAGGGCTTGGTATTATTTCCTAGCTGTTTCCCATATGCTGACCGCACTCCTCCCAAACGGACTTCTTAAGAGCAAGAATGTGATCATATTTACCCAGGACCCCTTGGGTTTGAACTCTGGCCCTACCAGCTCCTAACTGGTGACTTAGTTAACTTCGGTCTCCTCGTCTGTACACTGAGGATAGTAGCCTTTCTTCATGGGATCACTGTGTGGATCAAATGCACTGACATGAAGAAAGTGCTGACAACTGCACTTGACACACAGTAAATGCTAAGTAAATGTTAGCTACTAACGCTATCATCGTGATTCTCTATCTCCCAGAGTCTAACACTAGTAAGGGAACAAGGAAGTCATCAATAAATACATGTTGATTTGAACTGAATTCCAAACGGAATCAATGGGAATGTGTAATGAGAGTTATCACTGACCTATTTTTATTCTCCGCCTCCTGAGGCACAGTTCTCCTTGAAAACAGAGATCTTCACTTGGGGGCAGACTATAAGTAGATGAGCAAGTAGTAGAGGGTGAGAGGATAAAGTAAGCTAAGAAAAAAGCTTACCTCATCAGCATGTGGAGTAAGCAAGCTGCCATCCACTCAGACCAAACGTTTAACCCCGGGTTGTATATTTGCTGCCGTTTCCGAACAACCCCCATGAGATCCTCCCCAGTCACCCCGCCACACACACAACTGCGCGGAGGGATGCAATCCAGCTGTTACATTGGACTAAGCAGTTTCGGATGAAGGTGAGCATATGTACTGAATCTGGAAGATGATTTTAGCGACTCTTCTGTTTGCTTGCTTGTTTTGAACAAAATCTTTCATCTTAGATTGCTTTTTTCTTTTTGAAATTCATGATAGAGTATGTATATGTGCACGACAGACAGAGAAAGGGAGAGGCACCCTGCACAGGGCCAGGTCTCGCCACAATCCTCTTCCTCCAGTCCTCCAGCCCACCAAGATTCCGAGTGCATGTGCATGCACCTCGCATGTTTTCAAGCGAACCAGGCCAGGGACTTGAACTGTGGTCAGCATGTGGATGCCAGCTCCAAAGTCCAGTATACTGTCGTCTGTGCCCCAGAGGCTGGATAGCTTTGCTTTTAATGATTAATTCCTTCTCCTAAAAGCCAAGGGAAGATGGGGAAATAGAGAACTAAAGGATCTGTCAAATGAGTTCAGGGTAATTCAGGTTCTTCACATCACTGGCTTGTGGATTGTCCTCTTTTCCATTGCTTCCCTTCACTAGTACAAATCATCAAAAAGTGAACTTACAAATGAAAAGCACCTTCACTCATCAGGGATCCAAAGCACACAAAAAAAGCATGAGGCTCCATGTCATGAACAAGCCAAGTGATACAACCACATGTATAGGAAACAACCATCTTCCTAGTCACTGCCCATCTCTAGGATCGCTCTTGAAAACAAAGAAGTAATGTCTTGAGGGCTCAAACTGCTCTCCAACCACAAGACTTAGAAACATGAGAGTTAGCCAACTGGCCACTAAATAGAATTTAATTTTTTTTAATTAAAGGGAAAAGACACAGAGTAAACAGAACAACCCTACAAAAAAAAAAAATCAAAATTAATGCACAGAAGGATCCGAGCTTAACTAAGTCCAGTTCTAACACCTGCTTATAAAGCAGACAAAGAACAACTTAGATTTGAATTACACTACGCCATCAAGGATAAAGGTCTCTGTAATCTCCACACAGACTATCTTCTGCACCTGCTAAAACAATTCACTCTGTATGTCAACAAGTATACAACAAGCCCATTGTATTGTTCTCCTCCAGAGATGAGGCTACTGGCAGCCAGTTGTCTCTAGTGAGTGGGTGTGGCTGGGAAGGCAGATGTGGGACCAGCTAAGCTTTTTTATTCTGAGTAAGAGGAAACTTAAGAGAGCTAGCGGCTGGGACTATTGTGAACTGCAACCCACAGAGTCTATCTGCAATAGTTATGATAAAAACAATACCTCCCTAGGGTGGGAAATTGGAGAGATGTCAGTCAAAGGACACAAAATTTCAGTAAGGAAGAACAAGTTCAAGAGATCACTTGCATAGCACGGTAATTATAGTTAATAACAATGTAGTGTGTACTTGAAAATTGCTAGGAGAATAGATTTTAAACATTCTTGCCACACACACACACAAAAGTATGTGAGATAATGCATATATTAATTAGTTTGATTTAGCCACTATACAATGTATACATATATCAAAACATCGTGATGTTTACCATAAATATCTACAATTTTAATATATCAATTTGAAACTATTTTTAATTGCCAGAGGATATATGCACTTGCTAGAGAGAGACAGAGAGAGAGCTAGGGAGAAAGAAAGTGATGGAGTGTGGTCACATCGCAATCCCTTCTCCATTTCTCCATCCTGTTGGGATTTGAGGCATGCACACACATGCACTTGTCATGGTTTTCAAGCTGCTGGGGCTTGGATTTGAACTACTCTCAGCCATGTGAGATCCATCTCCCTTAACCACTAGGCTACAGAACCAGCTCTAAAATTTGTAAAAATATCCCCGAGGGGCCAATGCAGTGATAAAGTGATAATGTACTTCTCAAATGATGCTGGATACATATGGAAGATCACAGCTCAGTTCCCCAATCAACCTACACATGCCGGTGCACACACCTATGATCCTGACTGGCTGAGAAAGCTGAGGGGGGGGAGGTTGTGGCATGAGATCCACTTGAGGGTTGGTCTCTCTCTCTCTCAATAAACTAACTTTTTTTAAATAGCCATTTAGGGGGACCAGCACATGGCATGGTGGTTAAGGTGCTAGACTTCTACATGACTGACTACAGTTCAAGTCCTGGACCCAGTGGCTTGAAAATTACTCCAGGCTTGTGTGCATGCATGCCCAAAATCGCAGGAACATGGAGAAGGGATTGGAGCATGGCAATCCCCCCGGGGGGTGATTTCTCACTTTCTCTCTCTGTCTCTCTCTAGCAAGCACACACTGAATGGCAAAAATAAAAACAAAACAAAACAAAAAGCCATCTAGGTTAGTCCCATTCTTGCAGTAAGCTGGAGGTCTGTCTCTGACAGGAATAAGCTATGTGAAGATCTGGTGACAATTCCCATTATCGACTTCAAAAGTCACGGGTACCCTCACTAATCCTCACTAATCTGTCTGAGAAAGACTGGATCTGTCATTGTGAACATAAGCTAATTGTTTTTGAAACCCCCTAGTACTTTCTATCTATATCACTTCTTAGAATAATAATACCCACACACTTCTTGAAACAGAACTCTCCTTTGTCTCCAAAGTACCAAGAGGCTTTCCTCCTTCCAGAGAGTTAGAAGTCCCTTTCTTCCCTTGTGAATTTTATAAATGTAACCATGTCCCCACAAAGTCTTCATTTCTGCCACCTGAAGAGACATCATCATGTAAGCCATTCTCTATCAACTTTCTG